GTGTGTGGTCGAAGCAGGACAAGTAACTAGCTGGAGATTTACGCCGAGGTGCGCAAATGTCCCGGCCTTGAGGCCTGGGGCCAGATTTTTTAGTGCACCAACGGAGCTCCCCGGTACAGGGGCGGGGAAGTCATCCTTCGGCATTTGTGGCCAACTCAGCGCGCAGCGCATCCGGTGTTGCAACCGCGTTGCAACCCTCCATGTGAAATCGCTTTAGCACCTTCCGTAATATGTTGCCGCTGGCAAAATACCGCATGTCGACGCTCGCTGTCGATCAGTATCTCCACGCCTAGTAGATACTTGACTGGTCCGAGAGATGTGAGTTCATACTCCTCACTGAGTTGCTTAGCAGCCTTAGCGCAAAGGTCACTAGGGCCGAGGAGCAGTAGGTCGTCGACGTACACCGTGAGCAACATGGTGACTTCTCCTCCCACTTTCCTGGCGTAGAGTCCGTAGTCAGAGTCGAGGCGCTCGAGTCCGATCTTCGTCAGGAACTTGTGCAATGTTTTGTTCCAAACCCGAGGCGCTTGCTTTAGCCCATACAAACTCTTCTGTAGCTTGCATACGTAGCGCGTAGAGTCTTCTCCGAAGCCTGGAGGCTGCTCCATGTAGACCTCCTCGTCGAGGTCACCGTACAAGAACGCGGTCTTGACGTCGAACTGCAAGATGGCCCATCCGCGTTGCAGCGCGTATACGATCACGCATCTGATCGTCTCAAATCTGATAACAGGTGCGTATGTTTCACTGTAGTCGATGCCCATGCGTTGTAGAAAGCCTCTGATCACTAGTCGAGCTTTATATCGCTTAATCCGGCCCGTAGAGTCTCTCTTGAGCGCGTACACCCACTTGCACGAAATGACACGCTTGCCCTTGGCCTCCGTGCGTCGCACGAGCACCCAAGTTTCGTGCTGCTGCTGTGAGTCCATCTCAACTTGCATCGCTGCTTTCCACTCCTTCCACTTCTTTGACCTTGCCGCATGCTTGTGACTAATGGGGATCTGCACATCCTCGACGTTCTGCTTCGTCACATTCGTCACTACGTAGTCCTTGAGTCGGGCGGATGGTTGTCGCTTCCGCTTCGGTCGCGACGTAGCTGCACTGTCGTCTGGCGACGACTTCTGCGTCGTGCATGGCTCCCAGTTCTCGTCTTCGTGAGCATCACGTCGACTGTCCTTGGCCTTCGAGGCTCCCACTCGATTTGCACATGCTTTCGCTTTATTCTTGCCTTTTGTGTTCTTCCGCTTGGAACCTCCCACTGAAGCTGCTGGCTTCTTAGCGTCCTCGCTTGGTAGCTGTGGGTCATCACTTCGAGTCGCAGACTCGGCTTCAACTTCAACACCTTGGTCCTGGCTCTCACCAGCAGTGGCCAGCTTCGCCATCTCCGCTGCTCGCCTTTCTGCAAGCTCTGCAGGAAGCTGCAGGTACGTAGACATTGTCGTCCGGATCGGCACGATCGGGATCTCCGCAGGTAAGTCGTAGTCTCCGTAAGCGTAGGTGTTTGCAAGAAGTTGCTCAATATACACAGTGTTTACCGTGTACTTCTCATGTGCCTTCATGTTTCCATCTCTGCACGTCGTCACTGATCCTGTGCGCAGGTTCAGCAGCTTATAGCCCTTGGTCTTCTCGCTGTAGCCAAGTAGTAAGCACATCTGCGTCCTTGGAGTGAGCTTCTCCTTTCTCTGCCGAGAATCATCAGGGATGTGCGCGTGCAGCAAGCACCCCCACGTGCGCAGCACGCTGAGGTCTGGCCGCTCTCCGTACAGGGCCTCGTACGGGGACTGCTGGTCCTTCAACACCGGCGTCGGCGTCTTGTTGAGCGTCTCAATTGCATGTAGGAAGGCTTCTCCCCATAATGAAACAGGCATTTGCGTAGCTTGTAACATAGATCTGACCTGCCGCATGACGGTCTGGTTCGTGCGCTCCACGATAGCGTTCTCCTGCGGGCTGTAGGGATTGGATGAACGCGTGTCGATGCCGAGGTCCTTGCAGAAGGTCTCGAGCTGCATGTTGACGAACTCGCCACCACCATCGGAGAACAGCGTCTTGATGGTCGCCTTCGGGAACTGGTTCTGGATCCAGCGAATCTGCTTCTGAATCAGCTCCGTGGCTTCGTCTTTGTAGGCTAATAGATATCCCCACTTGTATCTCGTAGCTTCGTCGATAATCAATAGAAACTGGTTTGATTTCGATATTGTATCCACTCCAACACTGCATAGGTCGACACAAAGCTTGTGCAAGGGTTTTGCAGAGCGAGACGGCTTGCGCTTGTAGCTCATGCGCTTCGTCTTTGACTCTAAGCATGGAATGCATTCATAGAGAGCAAAATTCTTCGACTGCATGTTGATGCCAAAGTTATAGGTTCCTGCCATAGTCTTGATAGTCTCCATGTTTACGTGGCCCATGCGGTTGTGCAGCAACGTCATGGGGTTCTCAGCTTCACTGGCCTTGACGCTCATCACGTTCTTGCTCTGACGTGGCGTCCACATGCGGTACATCCCGCGGATGTACTGGAAGCGCAGCTTCAATGTGTCCTTGACCAGCCACGTAGTCTTCTGATCATGCGAGATGCGCACCTTGAAGTTTCCTTTGAATTGCATGTAGGTCTGCGAGATCAGGTTGTAGGCAGCCGACTTGGCGTAGCTCACGTCATCAAGGAGGCGCTCCTCGATCTTGCCCGTGTGCTCGTTCAGCACTTGCATAAGCACTGTGCCCACAGTTGCGCGCTCGGTTGTGCCGTTGCCGAAGACTAGCTCTGCAACTGAGTCTTCGTGTAGCTCCGTAAACAAGGTAAGGTCGCTCGAGACGTTGGTCTGCGCGCCGCTATCCAACACCCACTCCACCATGTCCTGGTCCTTGTCCTTGTAGTTGAAGTTGTCACGCACCGCGAGTACATGCTCTTGTCCTTCAGCTTGAGTCGGTGCAGCCGACTTGGCTGTCTTCACAGTAACCACATCGATCATCCTGCGCGGCGGGTTGCTCGAGTTGTTGTTGTTGTTATTGTTGCCACGCTGGCGGCACTCAGGATCGCCACTCCAATGTCCTTGCTCTCCGCACGTGTTGCACTTCGTCTTCGCCTTTCGCTTGGCGATGTCATCCCTCGCACTGGATGAGCTCTTGCTCTTCTGCCGCTTGTTCCGCCCACGCGGCGATGGGCTGCGGCTGCGACGATTGTTGCGGTTGTTGTTGCCTCGTGCTTGGCTGCTGCTCGAGTTTCGACGTCCTCTTCCGTCGTTGTGTCCGTCGCCACGGCCACCAACAAATGCAACATCTCGCTGGACGGCACGTCTACCTCCACCACGTCCTTGCTGTAGCTCAGTCTCTTGGCGTGAGTGGTCAGCGAGTCGAAGGCGCTCGATCGCTTGCTCCCACGTAATGGACTCATCACGTCCAATACGTACTTCATGCTCGTTTACCACCGCTGGGTACACACCCACTGTATTCGACAATAGGATAGAGACGGCTTCCTGCTCAGGCAGCTGCTTGTTCGCGCGGCGAAGTCTCTGTTGGTAGTCGTCGATGTCACGAATGTAATCGTCAAGTCGTTCGTCACGTTGCAGGCGACGATTCAGCATATCTCGCTTGAGAAACACGCTGTTTACTCCAGGATGGTTATCAAAATGATCTTCCAGTGTTCGCCACAGTAGGATAGGATCAGCACGTTGAATAACACTTGTAAATCGCATCTGTAGTTCTTGACTAAGTCCCATCGTAAGTTCACGTTGAGCAACACGCAGTCGTTGCTTGAAACAGCCGCGCTGTCCTTCGTTACGTTGGTCTGCCATCGTTTCGCGCTCCATGATGGGGTCCAAGAGGTGTGCGACGTCGAGAATGGAGCAAATCTCGACGCGCCACGTCTGGTAGTTGGTATCGGTAAGTCTTGCGTTCAACTGCACGTGTCCGCTCTGGTTGTGCATCTGTGGTCTCCAACCATGGGTTCGTCCGTAGCGGAGTCGGTCCCGGCCTCGGTCTGGACTGGCTGCGCTGCATCCTCGGACGTTCTTGGATTTCTTGGCGGCTCGATCTGACGCGTGCTGGCGTCGGCGGTAAGTTCCTCTGTGCTTGGGTTTCCTCGGCGGAGCCCGTACGACGTCGGCACTCGCTGCGGTTGTGCTCGAGCCGCTGAGAGTTCTTGAATTGAGCTGCCTTTGTGGGCGTCGGGTGGATGCTTCCACTGGAATGTTCTGCACTTGCTGCTGATTGGTCAGTGTAGTCATAACGGTACCGAATTGGGCCAATAAGAGCTCGAGTTGTTGCTCAACTCGGGTTGATGACGCTTGTGACGTCGCATGTGTCTCGTCTGACGTTGTCTCGTCTGCTCTTGCAGGCAACTGCAACTCGTCGGACGCGCGCGAGCTCTGCGTACTCCGGACTGGGCTTCCAGCTCTCCTTCTTGGGCTCATAACCTGAGTGATGGTCGCTCCTCGGCTACGCCGAGTGGTGACCATTGTGATGAAGGAAGTAGTCGTAACAACAGTAAGTTGCAGGGACTGAAAGTCCAGCAGGGGAGAAAACCGAGTGCTGCTGCTTGCTCTTGACGGCGCAAGTTGTCGAGTGTGTAGCAGCACACGGAAAAACCCCGGTAACATATATTGGTAGGATTAGCAGTAGGATGGGGCTGGCGGCTCGCCAGCCAATGGTCCGTCGAAGTCCGGCTTCTGGACGCGAGCATCGCGTCCTGGAGGCACCTGAGCCTCAGGTTTGAGCTGGACGCAGTCCTGGCTCTTCCTCCACACTTCACACTTAAGTCGTGTACGAATACGACTCCGTGTATATCGTGGTAGAATGCTCCGCGGCTGAGCTCGTACTGGCGATGACCTCCAACATCCAGGAATTCCACAAAAACTTCTCGTCCTGCCGGTCCCAACGACGTGAGTAGCACGTGGACATCGCATCCAGTGGTCCACAAGCTCGACGGCTTGTCGTTAGAGAGCGGGGTGGGCGAGTATAAGCGGCAAATGGCACGCAGCAACGCCGTCTTCCCCACTCCGGATTCTCCAAGAACAAGAACACGAACACTTGGAGTTTCCATTTCAATTATGGGCACTTTACAAACAAACGACATTATAATTAACCAATCAGGAGAGTGAAATGAGTCATTATCATAGTTTTGATACCATTTTTGCAGATTATCATGGCGGAGGAGTGGGCGTACGAGGAAGCCTCGGACGAGGAAAAGCTGCAGATTGCGCAGCGTTTCTTGCTGGCTAGTCCACCTGGACAGGTCCACGAGGTTCTGCGTGACGTGGCCAAGCTCGTCCCGGCGCATGTGCTACCTGATGCGGCGCTTCGAGGGGCGCTGCATGCCTACAACGTTAAGAACTGCGTGCCCGTAGACGTCCCCGATGCTGATTACAAGGTCTACTAGACTCTGTTGCTGCGAGCATTACCTCTATATAAGCCCTGAAATATATATTACATGATAGATCTTGATCTGTGAAGAGGGAGAAGTGGACGCTGCGCACTACGTGGACCCCATCGGCAACCGCGTGCTTGGATTTGACCGATTCCAACAGCAAATTGTACCGGACGATGTCGCTGAGATTCCAGAGGACAAAGTCACGGACTTTGAGAAGGATCGGTAAGAAAAAATTTGGCGTATTATGAAATAAATAATTTATATATTGAATAATTGCCAGTGGGGTAATGCAGAAGACGTTGCAATCGTACTTGCAGTTCGAATATATGCACGGGTAAGCAACATTACTGCTACAAAGAGGTGATGTATAAATGTTTAATATTTACTGTTGATGTTGCAGTGGAAGTGCCGGTGTGTACATTGTGGGTACCAAATTGGTGGTGAATTTGTGCACGGAGCGTATCAATTTGCGCAACTATTGGGGAGGACGCTGGAAATCGCGATGGGAAGTGGATCTGACAGCCAATCCGGCCAAGATTAAGGGCAACATACAGCTGCATGTTCACTACTTTGAGAACGGCAACTTGCAACTGCAAAATTCCAAGGATATCGACGAGGAGATCACGGTGCAACGTCCTGGCGGTCTGGGTGACGCCATTCTGCGCGTTATGAAGGAGGCAGAGGACGATCTGCAGAGCAACCTCGAAGACATGTACATCAACATGTCCGAGGAAACCTTCAAGGAGATGCGTCGCGTCATGCCAGGTTCGTTATTGTCAAAATTGAAAATCTCAAGTGTCAATGCTAATGTCTCATTATTTCCTTAGTGACCCAAACGAAGATGGAGTGGAGTTTGCATGCCCACCGCACGGCCAAGGACCTTGGACGCAAATAACACGAGAGAAACAACTTCTAGAAAAGTTGCATTTCGCAGTCAACACAAGTGAAAATCAAAAAGAAAAGTTGCGTATCACGTAAACCTGGTTTTATGTTGCCTCTAGTGCCTCCAGCAACTCTCCTTCTCCTGTTTGGAAGTTGGCAAGTTGCCACGACAGTTTCCAAATGTGCACCACACCTTCAGCGTCCCCTGCCGCCAAGAAGTTCCTCTGTCGAGGATTAAAGTCGAGCGCAAACATCGGGGCGGCAACTGCAGTCTTTGACGTTGTGATTGTACTGCCAGTCTTTGCCCCTGAAGTTGATCCCGTGATGGAATCTTTACCGCTAAGAACCAACACGGGACTGACGCGATCAGCTTTGATGTCGAAGACATAGACGTTCCTGTTGGAGCGTCAACGTCGTTGACATCGACGAACAGATCTAGTGTCATCAGGGAGAATCTGGTACGTACTACTCGTTGGCCCAAGGTGTCAAGTGGACACAGGATGAACACGGGCGACAGAGTGGCTCCAGCACTAGCGACATCAATGGGAGCGACGTGGGTATTTCGACGTGAGCGAT